ACCGGAAGTTCTGAACAATTTTTGTTAACCTAGTACTACTAGATTAGTAATTTGCAAAATTATAAATTTTCTTGATAAATATTTATTAATTTAACATCTAGCCTATGTATTCGTATTGTTTACCCTGATAAGAATATTACAATAATCATACCTAGTTTTGCAGATTTCCAAAGTACAGTATCAACTATATCACAATTACCAGTGGATGGAAGGGTAACCTTCTTCATAATTGCTGGGATGGGGTTCAAATGAAACTTGGAGAGATTTCGTAACATTTGTTATCAAATATAATCATTATTTGATCAATTGTTCGTCTATAAGGTTCAACAATAAGAGGGCTTTCAACAATTTATGGCAATATAACATAAGGTAGTAGGAAGGATTATTATATAATGACTTATGGTTGTATGACCTTAATCTACAAAAATGTATTCAGAAGCAATAGATAGAACACGATTGCTCAGCTTAATTGACTGAATAACCAGACATTTTAATTCAAGACTTATCACCTCCAGTCTCTTATCTCTATAGTAGCCCTAACCACTAATTAGCTCATTTCATTTATTTTATTCAAATGGCAACACCCAATCAGTTCAATTAGCAAAACCACCATCTAGCTTATTCTGAACAATATCTCACTAACTTTAGATCCAATATACAGATTTAATACTTTTTGTTGACGCGTAGTAGGAATAACAACATTAATCAAAAATTAATTGTAAATGTTTTCTCTAGAGATGTAACTACTAACAGCACTCTGGAAAATTGTTAATTCACTCGATTAAGTGAAAAACTGGCCTTAAAACCCGGTTAACCTAATGTAATGCAATGGAAGAATGCCAGCGAATGTACGAGTGGTAGCGATAGGGCCACGCTCCGCAAACAACTCCTTGTTTGGTTACAATCTAATACTTCCAACTCCTCAGATACTTTTGTTTGTATTCATGTCTAGGGTCTTCGTCTGCTGCATCCTTCATCTCTTCCGTTTCTGAGTAAAACTATTGATTTTATACCTTCAAAATTGCTGACTGGTTGTTTGTTTACACTGGTTACTGTAAATCGAATTATATGTATAGAAACAATAAGTGCCACAAGGATATTAAACACCCACTTATGAAAACACATCCACCAATATTGCTTCGATTATTCTCAGGTATAGCCTACAGCCTAGAACTTCTCTAATTTTGTTTGAAAGGGCACTAACTAAAATGGGCCAAAGAATTGTATACTTTATAAGTTCAGCGAGACTCATTTCTTACCTTACCATAACCTAAATTTAGGCCATCTCTTCGATCAGGGAATAAATATCAGTTAGCCCATTTAACAATCTTAAACCTAATCTCCAATTAAATCTAAACTATCTACTACGTTTTTAGTTTAGGTTAAACAAATTAAAAGCATATTGTAAAGTACTCCGTTCGTAGAAAAAGTAGAATTATATTACCAATAAACTTATAAATTGTGACAAAACTCCCAATTTTGATTGCTATCGCTACGTCCACGAACATAATAGGGTAAAACCAATCATGTTAAAATTAAAACCCTCTGCAATACGGTATTTAATAACCTCGCCCGCTAGTCCAGGTAGTCCTGCGGGTTATATGGTGGGGGAAGGGGGGTAGGGGGGTACAGAATTCACACAAAGAGTTTATTGGGTCGACGTTGTCGTCATTTTCTTTTTCATGTCGTGTCCCTAGGCGTGGCCTTTGTTGGGATACCATAGAAAAATATACGACGCTAAATATGTTCTGCTTTCCACAACGAGTTTTGTCATTTAAAATACGTATAAGCTAGTTTTTGCGAAAATTAATATTAGTTTATTTCAAATTGAGGGATTGTAGTGTTTGTTATGAAGTTTTTATAATTCATGGGGGTTTGACGAGTGTGCCGAATTTTAGTCATTGCACGTTCATAAACTATTTACAGTATGTTCAATTATGCGTATATATTCATATTGACTCGGACTTGAAAACTTTAAATTTAGCCTGTAAGTAAATTCATTATTAATTTTGGCTCCGATTTAATGGCTTCCAAGCATTCAAAATGGCAAATCTAAGTTATGGGTTTAGCTATGTGTACACAAGCTATTAAACGAGCCATTTTCACTATTCTATTTAATTTTGTTTCCAACTCAAAATACATTTTTAAATTAAATTTAATTAAAATTGTCACTACTTTATGAATTTTTAACTATGCTAAACATATGAGGATAGTTTTATAACATCTAACTAAACTTCCTACCCAAAATGTTCATGTATTCACGAATAAAATAAAATGAAACGTTGCGCCTAATAAACATAACAGTTAAATACAAATAAATACGCTTACATACGAATCAAACTTACGTCATCATGACTTTTTCTAACAAAATCGTGGAAATATTTTTACCTCACTGGTGGATTATAACATGAACAAGTTTTATCGAGAGGGTAAAGTTACAAACCAATCCAATCGCATTTCTAAGTCAGACACGATACACCACCTGTGTTCTTGTACGTTTCTATTGAAACACAAAACCTTAAGTACTTTTCATCTTACAATATATTGTTCGTGGTAGGTTTATTGTTCGCTTACCAGTGCTTTTAGTGGATTCACACAATTTAAGTGGAAGTAATAATGTTAATAATATAGTTTTTTGTCTTTGTTTTTAAAATATTGAATTAAGTATTCTTTGTGAGTAAACAAAGAACCAAACGAGTGCTTAAAGTAGAGTAGTTTATTCTAAGTAACTATTTGTATCAGAGTGGTTATAGTTGTCGCCTTCAAATCCGAAGATTGCTGTTTTGATATTAAGCGGGGTCGATAGTTTGGACTCTATTGCCTACGAAAACTATGCTCTCTAGCCAAACTGCGGGTTTAGACCAAAGACTACAGCCCACACGAAGTCAGCAGGCTTAAACTGTCTCAGTTAACTTGAAATACAGAGGTACGTAGCCTGTCTGCTCTACTAACACCCGTGGAAACAAGGATTGGACTATTTCTTTCAAACAACGCATACAATTCCAATGACTTAAAATCACAAAAACACGTGAGTTCAAATGTCACAAGTCCTTGTAAAGGTTCTGAGTACTATGATTGACTATGCACAGAATAGACTTCCCATGTAATGTAAAAATTTGAAGCAAACAAAACAGGGTGCAATTTGTTGAGATGGTCACCAACTAGATACAATATTCTGTGTTAAGTGATAAATCTATGGTATTATTTAGTTGCTTAGGGAATTTTTGTCGTCATTCAGTGAATGTTTTATTTATAGATAGTTTATTGAGCCATAAAAGCCAAGAAGTTACAAAATCACAAAACAATATAGGAACCGAACAAAATAAAACATCATAACCTAAAATCTGTCTGCGAAATTTCATTATAACCAAAGAAAATGACAAACTGCGAAACTAAAGAGCGAAACGACCTCACTTTAATGAAAGTCCAAAGTTGAAACTCAGAGGCCTTAATTACAAAACAGGTAAAACAAAACAGCGCCCCACTGACGCCGTTCGGGGTTAATCGGTGAAAACAAAGTGTGAAATCGGAGGGAAACTTTTCCCGCCGAAAATTTAGAGATAATCACCGCGGAGAAAGGACGACGACGCAATCAATTGAGTCAATACGCTCTCGAATCTAATTTAAATTCGGTTCAAAGGTGGGTATAATTTAAACAAACATTTATCAACTCGGTGGTTCAATCGATATGATTCTGCGCGACCGTCCACAACTCTACTCCATCGTCAGTCGGCGTCCGTCTCTCCCGTCGTTCATCCGTGTCCGTTTTGTGCTCACGTTTATCACGCGCCCCTCCTCCGCCATTCCGCAAGTTTCTCACTCTTTCCTGCTTTGCCTCTTGGATTATTAATTCTTAAATAGTTTTTTTTTCTTTGTCATTTTTTTGCACATTTTGGTAGTTTTATTATTTTTATAAATTATCAATAGTTGTAATAATATTTTATTTCTAACATTTTAAGTTCCAACATAACTGTTTTTGAGATGAAATATTTAATTTAAAATGTTATAGTTTTTTATTGCTTCTTACGTCATGTTTACGTTATTAAAAATGTGTTTCGAAATTGTTTTATATTAAGTGCATTTACAAATTTAAAGATTATAACCTAGCACAGGTTACTTAGAATTTACACAGGATCCAAAATAGATTTTTAACTTCGATACAGAAAATTTTATTTGTACAGTAGATAACATAAGTTGTAGTTTTGAATATTTTTCAATTTGTTCACACTAGTAGAACCTCACTAAAAGCTCGATTATCTCAAAAATGAAACATCAAGCAATGTATGTGTTGTGTACAACCCTTCATAATTAAAGTAAGAGTAGATTAATTATAGGGTGGCCAAACATAGTTGAGGTCCAGTAAACACCGTGTGATTGGCGAGCGGTTTTTACGTCCGAGAATGCAAATCCAGCATTGTTGTTGGATACCAAATGACCTGGCATTATCACACCATTTATCATCTTGTTTTTGCCACTATACCCCGTGAAAATTATCTCGATGATTCCCCGTTTGTTATTAGGACGATGTAACATGATGGAAATAAAATTACATTTTCTTTTGTAAATTTCATTCATTTCTAGTTTAGTTTTGATTTATTTTTTTGTATTCCTATATTGCTTATCGTGTGTTTCAAGGACTAACGCTGTGGGTCTAGTGGGGCTAATCTATGACCCTGTAAGCTGATCATGATTTTGCTCTCAGGTCTACAGTTATCACCCATAACATAAAGGACTGTATACGCCCATCATAAGTCTACAAGGTCTACAGTGACTGACATTGACTGTACCGTCAAGTTCACAGTATTCTACCACAACTGTGCTCGAAGGGCAGTAACCAATAATGTACTAGAAAGTCTACAAGACAGACCACGACTTTACCCGCAGGTCTACAGGGATCGACCATGACTGTACCCAAAGATATCCAGAGCCACTAATGTATACTCTATGTATTCTGTACTTGTTACTCCATGGCACTGAGGCCTGTTACGTGTTCCCGCCAGATGCTGCAGATCCGTGCTCCGGGAAGGTGTGTCCGCCAGGGGCGCGCTGTGTTCCAGACGCCGAGGGCCGCAGCGCCTCCTGTGTCTGCCCCCGCCACTGCCCCCAGTATGGCGACCACTCCGCCTCCAGGCCTGTCTGCGGCTCGGACAACCAAGACTACAAGAACCAGTGTGAGATGAGCCGAGCTGCCTGCGAGAAGGGTGTCGACATAGTGGTGAAATACCACGGTGCTTGCGGTGAGTAGAACCACGTTTTATCAGTTCCAGAATGTATTAACCGTCCAGTGGTGATTATTAGAGGGAAGCATGTGAGCTGATGCTCTCCACGTTTAGAGAGATATATTGAGAAATTGATATCATGTTTACTTCGAACATAATCCATTTTCGGGTGTTTTTCTGACTTTTAATGGTCCATTACCGCCACTACCTTTGACACATAGCACACACAAGGAAAGATCATGTAAAACGCATTGATCTATAGCACTCTAAAGCACTATACTCTATAGCTTATAGAGGTGTTTAGAGCTATACACTTTAGTCTAATTGTCGCCATCTTTGCAAAAGATATAATGATTGTTGCTTATGATATCGTATTGCGCAGACGCAGGAATTAAACTCTCACGTGTGCGTGCAAGACTTAAGGAGGAAGGCGGATATTTTTTATTAAAATTTAAACTACGCAATACAATATGTCTTAGGGCAACAATATAACTTATTTTTGAAACTACAAGATTAAATTCAAGTATTTGAAGTCAAGATTTAGGGCCTACCTATAAAGTTAATTTTAATGTTAACATTGTAAGAAACAAGTCATCAAATATTGGTTCTCCGAGTGTGTCGTTAAACACGCAAAACGTCTGGCCATTACACAGTTTTATCCCGAAAGCTAAGATTTGACTGTCAACTATGAAGATGGAAGCATACCATCAAAAATAACTTATGGTGTTAGGTTGTATTAAAAATCTAGTATCATTAAGCACATATGCCAATTAACGTACTTTAAAGTTGAAAAATTACACATTCTGAGCTTTTCTCAAGTTCATCATAACAAGGTCCAATTGAATGTTTAGGGGTAAATAATATTGTTTCAGTAATAAAAAATTAGATAGGCCTATATTGGAAGGTTGGTCTCATTGGAAAACATAACCGTGAAAAAGACTAAATATACATAAGATGAAGTGCGAGGTGACTATCAAGTTTAGAGGAGAGTTCCCAAGTGGCCAAGTCCTGGACGAATCCTTCTCCCCCCCCCCCCCAACGCTCTGTATCTCTATCCCAGGACACGTGTTGCACTTCCTACAAATGGTGTCCTTTACAACACTTCAACTTTTGTTTGACATGTCTGGGGACTTCACACTTAGTTTATCTGAGCGTTTGATTCTTTGTGAGCCGACAAAGGAATTTCAACCATCTTCAACTTATTCTTGAATTTTTCATTTGATTCTTTTAAGAAAATGTGAGGAGAAGATTCCAATAACATGGTAAAAAACAAATTAGTTATGCTAACCCTGTCCACACTTACTATAACCCAACATCACTTAACTTAGCTTTATCAAATCCAACCTAATCGTGCCAAACCCAACCTTTTTTTTATTCTAAGTTTATTTAACTAACACTACCTAACTTCTCTTTACATATATTTTTCAGTAAATATGCCATAGAATACTTCTTGTCGGCTAACGTTAAACTTGTATGTCCTACTTTCGTTTTTTACACAATGTAGTTATTGGGAAGATAAAAGGCTCTTCCATTTATGGCTATGTAATATTAGAAGAGTTTCACTTCCAGTTTTGCACAGTTGAACGTGTATATAGATGGCTTAGTTGCAGTCTGGCGGTAGCTTGTTAAACTAAGTTATTTTTCGTTCAAAAACTGATAACTATTTAAAAACTGTAATTAACTCTTTTGCCGAGTTTAGCTACATATATATTTATTACATTTAATACTGTTAATTAAATTTAACCCCGCTTAGTTTTTCAACAATCTACACAAAATCGCTTGCCAAAATGTTGACCGATAGAATACTTATGTATATGTCAATTATACCCACCAGCCTTCAATTAATATTCAGGGTGTTTTTTTTTTTTTTTTTTTTTTTTTTTTTTTACTGTGCCACCATTAGGATCTTGTAAACGATACATCTTACAGCAAACTTTAAATGGGGAACATTCCCTTGTTTTTAAAGAGGTTTAAAAATAAGTAAATACAATTTTTGTAAATGGCCGCCATTTCCCAATGTGGCGGTCAACTTCGTTTTCTTATAGAATACCCTGTATTTTAGGTGTTTTCGGATGGTAAATGAAAATTTTAGACCTTTTTATTCTTGAGTAAATGTTGATATACTCAACCGTTTACGATCTTCAGAGAGATATTAAAGTCTTAATTTAGTCTCTCTTAACAGCTGTTATTAAACCTATTGACCATTTCCATTGCCAGCTGTTTACTAGTATTGTTGTAATAATAAACAATAATCACTAACCTTTAAAATATACCGTCGTTCAACTATTAGGTTGTGTTTTATATATTGTATATTGGATAGATCCAGAGTAAATACATTCTTATCAACTTGTAACCATTAAGATCAGCAAATGCAATCAGGTTGTAAAATAGACTTTAGGGTGTACATGTTGATTGTCTGTCTAAGTAACTATTTTCAGACCTAGCAGTTATTGTTGTGAAAACTATACCTGACCTTGTGTCATCTTACTTCCTTGTTGAGACATTAAGAAACTATAGTGTACCAATTTAGATTTTGTAAGACAAATCCATGTTGAAAATACTAATTTTGTGGATCCTACAAATTATACTTTTTATAAAGAGCTTCAGCTCATTTAATTCCCTTCAAAGGAACAATGGAGCATGAATAAAATGTGTTCTTCCAGAGAAAGCTTGCTTTTAAGAGGGGAAATCTTCGGAAGCTTTCAACTCCATTATATACTTTGGGAGTTACGTCTTGGCCAACGGGTTAACTAAAAGCACTTCCATTCTTATCTTACAAAGTTACGGAGATTAAGCTCTAGATGTGTGCGTTTGCCTGTTTTATCGTGTACAATGTTCAGTAGCTCACCGTTGATTAACTCTCTTGCATTCCCTTTTAGTAGATTAACGTTTATTTTAGCATAATAGTATACAAACTATTACGTAAATATATTTTATCAACTTTTAAGTCTTCCAGTCTCTTGTATTTACTACAAATTAAATTTAATTGGTACTAATAATACAAACACTACATGGTACTACTGTGAATTCATTTTTATTGTGTCATAAATTCTTTAATCACCATGATTTATATCACTAAAAATATGTCATGACTATGTGTGAGTTGCCAAAAGATCCACATATTTTGTCCAACTATGGTTTTTTGAGGGTCGAGAGGGTAGCCTGTTGGGGAGCCTGTTCGTGGAGCATCACAATACTTATTTATCAGCTATAAAAATTATAAACCAAGTTTATTAGTGCAGTCCTAGTTTGTTAATTTATTACAGAGACAACATGTTCTGACAATATTTTCTTGTACAAGTTTTTACACACCACTTACGTCCCACTTTGGTACTTTACGAATTCAATGCATAACAAAACGGCTGGATTGTTTGCTATGTAACTGTTCCTTGTAAGAGGATGCTACACGTTAAAACGTGCAGCTGGTGAGCTTGTTGTTGTTGTTGTTGTGCTGGTGAACATGGTTTCTTATCGTTCAAAACCCATCAATATCTTTATCAAAGTTTTTTCTAACATGACAAACACACATTAACTTTCTTTATGCGATCATTTAAATCACAGATCTCGAACGAAGATACGCTAAATTATTAGTATTGTGCTGATACTGATAGTCAAAGGTTCTATATTTAGAGTGTGAAAGCATAGACTTACCAACAGTATGTTTTATCTGTGGTAAAAGATACCAGATGACCGTAAATGTGAACAAATCAGCTGATTTCAGTGGTAACTCAATTGTAGGGGAGCTACACAGCTGGTTTAATATCGTCCGCTTGCACTATTTTACTGCAGTTTCCTTCTGCCACAATATTTCACTGTTTTTAGATCGTTGCAGCGTCAAAAGAGACCGCGGACAGTTAGACAATAAAATAACAATTTTCTGGACGTAAAAATCATGTTTCTGGAAAAATAATAAATTTAAGTTAAATGTTTAATTTTCAAACAATTGTTGTTAATCCAACAGACAAAATACATACATAATTAATACAGGAGCGTAGCATCACGGAGAGCGCCGTTCCACAACAAGGTATGCAAATGTCGCATTGTCCCTGTGTAGCCAAATGGCCTATCCGCGCCGTCGCATTTGTTACCCATTGTTGGGTCTGTAGCAACATTCGCCCGATGTGAACTATAGCGCAGAAACTTATTTGAATCTCACTATTATATTCGTTATTTAGTTTGAATTTAGAGTTGAATACTCAATGATTATTTAGCGGTTAAATTTGTAGCAACAGAAACAAACTTGTAAACTATTGTTTTCGCCGAATATATTGTTTTAAAAATATATTTCACTGTTTATATGACGTGTAAAAATAATCTTGGAGTTCGCGTTTACTAAACAAAATCAACAATGAAATATGATTCGAAACAACATGTGTGCAACATTAGGCCGTAATTGTCTCGCTTTAGCGTGAAAAAATTCCCTTTGGGTTTTAGTATCTGACCATTTCAAACTATTGAAAAACTTATGACAGCTAGCCTGACCATACTTCTGGACCGAATTACACGTGGTTGGTACCAAATGAAAGATATTTTCCTGTAGATGTGCAGAATCCCTTTATAAATTAAACTAGACTCAAAAGTAAGCACAAATAATGAATTTGAAATTAAAAAAAAAAATGAACACGGGTTTTATGGGTTGCAATGCTGGTGACAAAATAACAACAAAATATAAACAGAAAATCTAAACATAAGGAATAAATTCCAATCACATGTTTTATTTACAACGTGGGGTGAAAATAGAGAAGTTTGAACAATACATATACGACCATAGGGCGGCTCTCGTTAATACCTACAATTATTTTGAAGTTACATTTCAAAATTAATTCGGGATTGTGTTTAATTCTTTAAATTAGTTTGAGTTTGCTATGATTGATACAATAATCCATCAAATTAGCCTTCTCTGAAAACAAAATTCATTAAGAATTGATTGTATTTTTCTCCTTTTTTTAATACTGTATAATAATTTCTGTAGGAAACAAATACTAATAACTTTCGCAGAATATTTTATTTTATTTCAC